TATTTTTACCGTAACATATTTTTTTATAAGAACCAAACCAATGTAAACTAAAAAGCATTAAAATTTTTGTTTTTGTTTAAGAATTTTGATTCAAATGTGACGTTTAAAACCAACAATGTCGCTTCTCGTATTTTCAAGCAACTAATTCGCACCAAAGCACCCGAAACCAGTGTATAAACATTACTCAACTTTTCATTTTCTGGTTTTATGTTATATGGTTTTCATTTTCCGTTGCCCACCACTTGTTTGATGATTTGTCTCAATTACAACAAGTTCATTTTTAGTTCCTGGTTTCAGGATATGCGATATGGAATGTCCTCGCCATTTCTTTTTTAAGTTCAGGTTTTGGTGAAGCTTTCATATCACAAAGTTCTTACAAAAAGATTTGTGGTCCTCAACGACGCCCGGAACCTGTTCGATCATTTGCTTCAATGGTGGACAAATCGTCTTCTAGTTTGGAGACTGATTTTTCCTTTTGCTTTTAATGCATCCCAGTAGCCGATTTACTTCCCTCAACCAATGCTCTGTTCGTCGCTGCAAAATCAACAACAAATGATTTTGTTTAGTCTCAACAGCAGCAGCAACAACATGAGTTCATTTATCAATTAATTTTTGCAGGAGAACCATCATTGATGATTTTGTAAATAAAAAAAGTTAGCAGACGAAAGAAAATACTTGGGGTGACCAGAATGAAACCATGAGAATAGTTGAGCGATTAATATTAATTTACCCGTGTCTTTTTTAACGGAGTTAGTTATTTGGGACAAACGAGGTAAATTTTAAACTTTATGAACAAAATAAATTGAGTTGAAAAAATTACCAGAGTCTCCTATATATATATATATATATATTTTAACGAATAGGCTTTATTAGTAATTCATTATTACTTTAGTAATATAATCGTAATTTAAATCCTTGAACACGAAGTCCGCGATATCTTTGCTTTCCTAGCGATTGTTTTCATTTTCTCCCGGTAATGTATTTTACTTCCTATTATAACAAAAATTATGTTGTTAGTAGGACATTGTATATTGTTTTGCTTTACATCTAATCAGTAACCAAAAAATAAAAATAAATAAATAAAGCAATTACCTACTAATGTCAGAACCGGCGGAATATTAATATAAGATGTCCGAGATAAATAGAGGGAGCGGGTGGGAGTAATCGTTATTTAAAAATTTAAAATTGTTATATATTTTAAATTTTTTTATGTATTTTATATAGAATATCTGTTTTCACCTATCGGAATTTAGTTCACCTCTCTTGAGTTTAAGTTTATCCTCTAACATAAAACTATGCATTTATCTCGAAGGTATCGGCAATGTATCATCTTAAACTAATCTGAAACTACAGAGAATTGTATATTATTAAAGGCAGGAGGCTAGATGAGCGTTTTTTATTTTAGGGTAAAATACATAAATAGTCCTCCGACTATAGGATATTTATATGCATTATTAATATACTGAGGAAATTCATATACCTTAAAGTATAATTTTATTTTATTAAAAAGAGTTTCCTCTCTATATAAGTTAAAATACTTCCTTTCGAAATATCAAATTTCCACGTTGGGGTAGCTTTTGTGTCTTCTTCTATTGATCTGCTTTTAACAATTAAAGAAAAATCGAACGAACCACAGATCGAATTAAATCAAAATGTTTAGATAACTTATGAAATATAAATTTTAAAAATTATAGTTACTCAAATCAAATTTGTAATCAACTTTATTTATTTATTATTATAGAAAAGAGATATTTTTATTTCAAATAATAAAAATAATTTATCACTATTATTAGAGACGGATCCAAAAATATTTTTCCGGGTGAACACATATGTATTAATAACAAAGAATTTTAGTTCGGGTGGACACAAATAAAATTTGAAGGTGATCATCTTCAATAAAATGAACAACTAAAATAAAAAATTTTAGATTCTCCACTCTAGATTCTACGTACATCCGCCATTGAGTATAATGTAATAATAGTTGTTGATTATTTTTATTCATTTGATAAGCTATTTTTTAATAAATATTTTCATACAAACTAAAAATTATTAAATAAATGTAAAAAATCATTTTACCACAATAAAACAAAAAATTTGAAATGAAAAATTATTATAAAAGGCTTAAAATTAAATTGATCGAATCAAATCATAATAAATAATTAACAAAAATCTACAGAAATTCAATGGAATCTAATTGAGAGTTGGGTCAAGTTAGATTTGCAGTTCATCTAAATTTGATGTCAATATAACAATGTTTCATCTATTATCTGATTTGACTTGAGTTTAAAAAACTTTTATTCGACGTAAAATACAACCAAAATTTATAAGGCAAAAGTTTGCATCCAATACGGTACAAATACATGTATATAGTTCTCATGAAGTAAATTATAAATCTAATTGAAAAATATAGATAAAAAGATATTACAACACTTATCTCTAAAAATTTGCATGTATGGTGGGTTAAATCAGGTATGTTTTGCCATAAATATATATATATATATATATATATATTAATCGGATTGGGTCAGATCCATGATTTTTCACCTTTGACTCGAATCCGTCTGTCCCGAAGTTATATACTATATAATTTGTTCCATCCCATCCCGAGTCTCGAAATTTCAAGAAAAAACCGTCTCTATAAGATCATGTCAGTTGGGGAGCCATTGGGTTTGATATTTTGACCATCTCTAAACATAATTCGTTGATAATGATCTGATTTGTTTTTAACAATGATTTATTTATTTATTTTAAAATGAAGATTAATTATAATCATTATATCTATACGCTTATAATTGTATCTTAAAAATAATATAATCATAAAATTAATATACAAATATACATAAAATGAAAAGTTATATGAATTATATAATACGTAACAGAATTATAACACGTAATATGCAATCAACATGACGAAAATATATAAATTATATTTACCATAAGCTATTGTATTGAAAGAGACCCGAGTGAATCAATACCACTGGACACTAAGAAAAAAACAAAACAAAAATCATCGTGACCAAATACAAGAAAGGAACTTTATTATTAATAATAATTATTAAGTTGAAAAGTTAGTAGTATTTGTCAATGCATTCTTTTTCAATAATAATAACGAGGTATTTGAGTAATTAACTAATCTAAATGCCCATCATAGATTAGCGAAAATATGTCTTTCATTTAAACTTGATTCGAGTTAAAAAAGTTTATATCTGGTTTAAAAAAATAATTTAAAATTTAAACTACAATTTATATTTAAATAAATCTGACTCGATATAAAATAAATATATATATATTTTCCATCAAATATATATCTAAATAAAAAGTTAGTGAGTGAATGATTGTTCCTAAATAGATATAAAAAAATTATATTATTATTTCAGGTCGAGTAAAAAATATTCATCCTAAACTTGACTCTATTTTAGAAAAAGTCTTACAAAATTAGATCAAAATTCATCCAACAAATGGTCATTATATAAGTGTAATTTTAAATTATATATTTATTATTTTTATATGTTTATTTTAGTGGTGCGTAGCAAATAGCCAAATACGTGTCGCTAATTTGCAATTATATATTTATTATTTTCTTACATGGTTACTTTTTATTTATAATACAATAAATAATATATTATTATTTAGTATATTAATAATAATTTTCAAACTGTATAATTAATATTACTAATACTTACGAGATTATGGGCCCCATGTATTATCTCAAAGAGGAATATTACTAAAAATTCATTGTCATGCAAATCTTGTGGTGTAATGATTTTTTTTTGTCCTTCCATCCTGTTTTGAGTGGGTGAGTTTTTTAATAATTTTTTTTATATATGTTTAAACTCAAATTCGAGATTTTATTTAAATAATATCAAGCTTATAACTTAAATTAATTTATTTTAATTATATTTTTAATGTTTGATGTGTTTGATTTTATTACAAAGTGTGACCCAGGAAGAAGAACCACATTAGAAACGTCTAAAATGAGGAAAATGGTGGAATTTGTGGGGTCTTTCCCAAAACTGTCAAACTTTATTTAGCCATAATCATTGACAAATTTGGTATAATATCATTTGATATGATATTATTTTAATAACATGTCGTTATAATACGATATATGTTTAATTTTTTTTAATTATTGACAATAAATATATATTTTTCAAATATATTTGTCTCAATCAGGATCTCGAGAAAATAATAATTTTTCTAACCATTGAATCTACTTGATGTGTTATCATTTGATATAACATTAGTTATTTAATTAGATAAACTACATAATGAATCTCCACCCTATAATTAATATATCATATATCGATAAATTTTGTGTATTTTTAATAATCGAGAGACTTTATAAAGCGATTATTCAAAATTCAGATGTCTAAAAAATAATATTTTTTTTTATCATTAAAGTCACTCATTAAGTTCAATTATAAATGAGTAAATTCTATTGTAAGAGTGACTTATACAACTAAAACATATAATATTTGATCCAAATTAGTTAACAAATGAATACACAATGATTATATAAAATATAATTTTATCTAAAAATGTTAAACTTAAGAGTGTATGAAGTTGCACGAATAAAGCGATTTAAGTTATTAAAGAAATAATTGTTATTCTTAAAAATTTTATATTCGAGTACTAAAGACCGTAGGGTACTTAAATATTGATTGTTAAATGATTAAAAGTTTTTAAAACGGATACAACTTATAAACACCATAATTAATTAGAAAAAAAGTAAATGAAATATTTAAACTTTTATACAAGAATTCAATTAAAATTTTAAATTTATTTTGTATATAATTAAATCATTTAATTAATTTTAATTGTTAAATTTTAATAATTTCAATAAGATTTATTTAAATTTTACCAAATATTTTATTTCAATAAAATCAAATCGAAATCGATCTAATTTCAATAAGATTTATTTAAATTTTACCAAATATTTTATTTCAATAAAATCAAATCGAAATCGATCAGATTTGATGCCAGGTCGTAAGCAGAACAACCCTTTTCTCTCTTATTTCCCTGCCTGTCGTCCCTTTTATTTTCTTTATTCGATTCATTACTAAAAAAAACAAAAAAGAAAATTGAATAAATAAATAATAAACCTCTGCTTTGTCTGTCATCAGTCTTTGGTCTTCCTCTTCCTCTCTCTGAAATGGGTTTCGCTCACTTGCCAAATCTGGAGTAACCCAGTTCATTTTTCTCTGCTATTTGAGTGAAAGACAGGAAATTTTCACTTGTCACCTCCATTAATGCTTCCTTTTACGTATTCTCATGTCTTATATTTCATCTTCTTTGCTCATTTTGCTTTAGTTTTTTTGTGTGTGTCAAATCTCGAAACTCTGTTCGAATCTACCAACACCCATTTGTTCATTTACCGGGACCAGGTCTAGCACATACAGGTTCGTGACCATGTTCTTCTTGGAGCAAATTCTTCATCTTTTTGTTGATCTGTTTGCTTTACTACAGTCTAATGGTTTTTCAGTCACGTGGGTTTTTTTTATTTCATTTTGATGTTGGATTGATAGGTAAGTATGGCCTAAATTCATCAAAGGTTGCATTTTTACAATTTGTTTTGGATTAAAGTCTCCCATTTTAGTAAGAAATCTGGTTTTAAACGTGTTTCATTTTCCTTTTATATCATATTGATGTTGATATCTATAAAGGCTTTTGTCCTTTTAAAGTAACAAATTCAGTGTTCTAGCTTTATCTGCTCAAGGCCAATATGGGCAACAATTGATATGATATGTTGGTTGATTTGTTTGCTTAATCTATTGTGTCTCTATATATGTATATAATCTTACATACAGATTAGTTATATGGACAAAGGTTTTATTTGTGGTGTGAACTTCATACCAGTTAATCCTCAATAGGCATGCATGTTGTTTTCTCCTCTCTCAAGCTTCAAGCTATGGAGTTGCTTGGCAATGGGATTATCATTTTGCTAAGGAAAACAAGATTTTGCGGACATCTAAACATAGTTTATTGCTGTTGTTTTGAGGGGATTTGGTGGGAGATCAAATTATTCTTTTAACGAATGCGTCGCACTTTAATCGATTTTTTTTATAAGTAAATTTCATTCCAAATCCAAAAAGGATGCAGCAAAGCTACAACAAATAAACCAGTCAAACAAAAAACAGACAAAACACCACACCCACACCAAGAGCCTACAACAACCTAACTCAAACAAAAGCAACAAGCACCAGACCAAATAAAAAGGAAAAAAAACCACACCCACCCATCAACAGGTCAAGCTTCAGAGAATACCCCAGTCATTACAAATCTGTAGATACCCATCGTCCTTGTTGAAACAGCAGCCATGAAGCTTATAGCTATTAGCTTCCCGGATTACCTCACACAAGGCCTCAAAGGGGTCGTCTGACACCCCTGAATTGCCTGTGATTATGCTCTTCCCAAATGTAATAAAGGTAACTAGTCCAAGCCAACTTCAAAAGACCTACAATCAAAGATTTATCTTTCAACCTACCAATCATCCATTCCAAAAACTCATCTCAGCTCTGTCTCCCCAAGGCAAACCACAAAGCTGCAAAACATGACCCCAAACAATGCAAGCATAAGGGCAGTCGCCAAAGATATGACTTCTACTCTCCTCACCAGCCTCACACAGCCTGCAATCACCATCAATAACCAAACCCATCCTAGCAAGCCTGTCTTTAGTAGGCAACCTGTCAATAATGGCCATCCATGAAACAAGAGAACAATTTAGGAATATGAAGAGGAAACCAAGTGACATGCTGCCATCTAACCTTCTCAACCGTAACCCTTACTTCCTCTTAGATCCATCTACAAGTAACTAGGCGCCAATCAGTATGCCCTCCAAACAAATCAGCAGCAATCCCCCTCAACTTCAACAATTTCCTAAAGAACCAACTATGATAAGGCCTTCCACATTCAGACATAAAGTCCTGCCCCTTCAGCACATACTCCTTCAGCCAAGCTACCCACAAGGAGCCTTCATTGGCAAGAATACTCTTAATGCTCTTAATGAGGAGCAGGCAGCAAGACTTATTCCTGCAGGATAAATCCTTGATCCAAACCTGCCCTCAGATTTAGGCGTACAGATCTGATTCCGTCCAACTCGAGCACCTTTAGCAGGAGAGTCATCCCCTTTCCAAAAGAACCTCATACAAAGTTGTTCAATCCTCTCGACAACAGACTTGGGAAGAGGCAATTGTCTGCACCAGAAATTCGAAATGCTGCACAACACAGCTTTAATGCGCTGCAACCTCCCACCACAGCTAAGCTTCCGGTGAGCCCACACGGCAAGCTTCCCCCCATTCTTCTCAATCAAAGGCAGGCAATCTTTTCCAGAAAGTTTTCTGGTCACCAATGGAACACCAAGATACCTTACTGGCAGCACACCCACTCTAAATCCATTAATAGCCTGAATACTGCTCAAAGTCCTCTCATCCATCCCACAAGCAAAGAAATCAGTTTTTGCAGCATTTAGTTGCAAGTCTAACTTCCCATAAAACACTTCAAGAACACTCTTCACACCAAACACAAAATCCATTGATCCATGCCAAAAAACAAGTAAGTCATCAGCAAAACATAAATGGGTTAATTAGATCTTCTTACAATTGGGATGAAATTTAAAGAGACCCTTCTTCTCAGCAGTATCTAATAATTGAGAAAGGACATTCATCACCATAACGAAAAGATAGGGCGATAGGGGATCACCCTGTCTCACTCCCCTCCTCCCACTAAAATAGCCAACCAAGCTCCCATTAAAGACCACAAAGAACTTTGAAGTAGTGACACATGCTCTAATCCAATTCCTGAATTCCTCAGGTAACCCAAGGTAACCCAAGAGCAACAAGGACAACCATCAAAAAGGCCCAATTAACTGAGTCAAAAGCTTTCTGCAAGTCAATTTTAATAGCACATCTAGAAGACATTAGTCCTCCTAGAATAACCCTTCACCATTTCCTGAGCAAGCAAGGTGTTATCCACTAAATTCCTCCTTTTGATGAAAGCAGATTGACTGAGTGATAGCATCCCAGGAAAATAAAAGTTTAGCCTATTCACTAACACCTTAGTGATGGTTTTATATATCACAGAACAACAGGAGATGGGCCTAAAGTCCTTTGCTCTACTAGCATTAGGAACTTTAGGCACAAGAACAATTGCTGTGACATTGATGACAATCCCCCCAAGGTGATTTGAAAAACCAAGCAGTGAAGCCATTAGGCCCAGGGCTCTTTTCATTCCCTTGCTTAAAGAGAGTATCCTGAATCTCCTTGTCAGTAACCTTTCTAACAAGCTCACATTCAGCTCCCACAGGCAAAGAATACCCAAGCAGGTCTTTAAGCTGGTCAACCAGACAACAATTAACATTATCATCCACTGTCCCAATGAGATTATTAAAAAACTTCACCATCTCAGCAGACATGCTGTCAAAACCCTCTAACTAGTAACCTAATGGTGTTTTGCTTCCTCTTTCCTAACACAGTTGAATGAAAAAACTTAGTGGATCTATCCCCCTCCTTTAACCAGTGCACCTTAGCTTTTTGCTTGTAAAAATAAACTTCAGCAGCTTCAAGCTCCTTAAGCTCAACCTGAAGAATGACCTCCTTCTCCATGTCCCTCTCATTAGGATTAGAAAGGTTAAAAATCTGGGCCTGCTCAAGCTTTTCCCTCTTAACTTTAATCGGCTTTTGTTCTCCCTTTCCACTTCAAAATTGTTTGACCAAATTATAGTAGGGATTGCATAAATTATTTGTCATGCCTATTTGTGTGTGTGTGTGTTTTCACATTTCTTCATGATTTATTGCATTATGAGATGATAACTATTTGGCTTGGTTTTGTGAAGAAATTCATTTCTCAGAAATTTTCTTTACCCGCTCTTAGTCATGAAAGGAGAGGCTTCATGGATCAGCCATTGCTTTGATGACATGTCAGAAGACATTGGTGACTTTGAGTCATTCATGAAACGGAAGGATGAAAGTAAAAAAGAAACTGATGTGGTTTCTGCAGACTTAATCCTACCTGATGACTTGCTGGAACGAATCTTGGCTTATCTCCCTATTGCTAGCATATTCAAAGCTGGTTCTGTGTGTAGAAGATGGCATAAAATTGTCAGTTCCAAAAGGTTCCTATGGAACTTGTCAAATGTCCTATCACAAAAGCCTTGGTATTTCATGTTCATGAGTTCCGATGAACCCGTCGGTTATGCCTATGACCCGATTCTCCGAAAGTGGTATGGCATCGAACTACCCTGCATTCAGACTCCCAACTGGTTCATTGCCTCGTCATGTGGGTTGGTTTGTTTCATGGACAACGATAGTAGAAGTGAGTTGCATATCTGTAACCCTATCACCAAACGTCGCAAGAAGCTCGAGGAGCCTCCAGGTGTGAAATTCTCTGATTACAGTGCACTGTCAATCTCAGTGGACCGGACATCACACAATTACACTGTATCCATTGTGAAGTCTAAACAAGTTCCTGGAAATTTTTTCCAATGGGACCTTTCGATTCATATTTATGATTCGGAAACAATGATGTGGGTAACCTCCTTGACTGAGGTTCTGACAGGTTGGAGGGGCGGAGATGAAAGTGTAATCTGTGATGGGGTGTTATATTTTCTGATTTACTCAACTGGGGGTGGCACACCTGGGAATCGTCATGCTCTAGTTACATACAATCTCACCAGCCGATCTTCCCCACTGCTACAGAGTTTTATTCTAGTACCAGGCCCTCTTACCTGTGGTCGACTGATGAACCTAAAGGAAAAGCTAGTCATGGTGGGAGGGATCGGGAAGCAAGACCGGCCCGATATAATCAAGGGAATAGGTATCTGGTTTTTGGATGGTAAGAATTGGGTTGAGGTTGCTCGTATGCCCAATAAGTTCTTCCAAGGATTCGGTGAGTTGGACGATGTTTTCGCTAGTAGCGGTACTGATAATCTCATATACATCCAAAGTTATGGTGCTCCGGCTCTTCTTGTTTTCGACATGAACCGGAAACTCTGGAAATGGTCAACCAAGTGTCCTGTATCGAAGAAATTTCCGCTCCAGCTGTTCACCGGTTTTTGCTTTGAACCGAGACTCGAAATTGCTCCTTAGTTTATCTCTGGGAATGGTAAAAGTTGCTTATATCTTTATGAAAATGGAAACTGTTGGTAATTGTTCTCCATTAGCATATACTGCACATACACACACACAAGTTCCAAATTTTCTTAATCGCAGAGTATTTATTTAAGCTTTCATTTGGCACCCATGTTAAATCGTTACTTCGTCTCTGTTGTACTTTTGCTTATTGTATCATGTATCATGGATATATGATTTTACCTCAAGTAAAGCTGACTATTGCATTTACTTTTATGCATATATATTTTTGTTTAACTCAGTATCCGATCTATTAATTACATAAATTCATTATGAGAACTTTTTCAATCCAATTTGTTTCATTCATAATATCAAAATTCAAACTCTTAATCCTAAACTGGTCGGTTTCTTTATGGATTAACGGTGGCGATATTATTTCGTTAGGCAAATCAATGATTGCGCCTTTTCAGTTTCTTGTAGGATGCAGGCATCATGGATTACATCCTGATGCAGGCATCATGAATTACATCCTGATGCTTGGATTGCACGTAAAGGGAACTCTAAAAGGTGAGTTTCCCCATGAAACTTTCACACCAAAAGATACGATGTTATCTGAAACAACAAAAGCTTAAACACGAACTGTATGTTCTTTCCATCGTCTTTTTGCAGTTTCCCCCTACTCTTTCCCTGCCTTACAGATTCAACCGACAAATTTAGTACCGCCAGCAACATGAACATACTCTCCGGAAACTCTCCCCCCCCCCCCACAACAATTACCCTTAATTTCGCCATGTGTTAAAATTACTGTAAATGGTTGATAAAATAACTTTACATAGGATATGTGGGCGGCTACTTTGAATTCACAAAAGTAGTCTCCTCTGATTCTTGTATTTATCAACTTGGGCGGAGTCGTTCAACTAAGACTAAATACCATTTACCAAAACAAAGTAGTCGCCCCTGACCGAATTATAATTCCCTTACTTGCCTATTTTCCAAATCTACTTAAAAAATTATCGCTAAAAACAAAAAACAAAATATAAAGGTAAAATCTATAATTAATCCCTAAAATTTTATCATATTTATATTTTAGCCATCAAAGTTTTAATAATTACATTTTAATCATTAAACTTTTAACTCACTTCCATTTAAATAGTTTTCATATATCGTTAATGGTAAATGATGTGACATATTCATGTATTATTTTATCAATGAATTAATATATTTTAATTAGATTATGTAATATATCATCGTGTTATTGGTGAAAAATTAGAGAAAAAAACATATGATTATGATAAAGATTGAACGTAAGATCTAAATTTATTTATCATCAAAATTATATATATATATCAATTTTCTATTAATAAGATAATAAAATATGCCACTATTTTACTAAATATTATCATTTTATTAAAGAAAATAACACGCGAACATATCACATCAATTGTTGTTAATAATAATTACCGAAATAAAAATGAATTAAAAGTTTAACAACTGTAAAGTAAGTTTTAGAAGTATGGTTTCTAAAATGTAGAACCATTAAGCTTTAGCGACCCTATGTGTGTAGTTTACCCAACAATAAAATAAAAATATATATTTTCTTTATTTTATAAAAAAAAAGTCCAAACAAAATTGAGTACAAAAAGCTTGCAAAGCTAATTCGTTTTTATACTGGATTCTTGGTAATTTACTAGTTGCAGCAGATTAATCGATCTCCTACCTTCGTTTAGGCAACGGCAGCTCTTCGTTTTCTAGGGTTTGCTTTTGTTCGGCTACCTGTTCCCTTATCTCGTATTTTCAGTCCTTTTTAAAAGATAAAAAAGGGACGGCAAAAATTAAGAGAGGGTTTAGGTTCAGGGGTTGTAATGAGAGATCGATTGTTTAGGTTCAGGGGTTGTAATGAGAGATCGATTGAATTCGGATCTGTTCGACCCGAGAAGTGAGATGGACTCCGATTGCATGCGTGGTGCCTCAGGCTCCGGCGGTGATTTCGCCTTCGCTTTCAACGATAGCAATTTCTCCGACCGGCTTCTGAGGATCGAGATTATGGGTGGGCCGTCTAACTGCGCTTCCGATGGTGAGGGTTGCACCAGCATCGCCGAGTGGGCTCGCTACCGCAAGAGGCGCCGGGAGGATATCAAGAAGGAACATGGTTTGTTTTTGGTCCCCCTCAGTTCTCCCTAAATGATTCTCGTTGCTTATGTTTGGTTACTTAGAAAATGAAACAAAAATTTAAAAAGAAAATAATATGAATCTTACTTTGCATCTATGCGGTACTTTGTGAACCTAAGTTGAGAAATAATAAAAATGAAAATTAGGTTTCGGGAAATTTGAAGTTTTGAAGGAAATTATAGCTTTTCTTGCTGGGACGGGGAATTCTAGTCATCTTAAGCTCTAAACAGATAATCTTGTTCATAATCTTGTGTCTCACTTGTTTTTATCCAGATTCAGTGTTCCATGCATATTGATGGTTAATCTTTGCGACTGTATGCCTTTTTTATAAACTAAGTTTTTATAAAGTAGGCTATTGTTTAACTCTTTTTGCTTCATCTTTTTTCTTCCTTTTTGTAGCTTGGGATCTTAGTTTATGTCCCGAGGAGCAGGTTTTAAGTGACAATCAACCTGATACGGATGATGCTGTGGGCTGTGAAAATCAAGATGGGGAGGCAGGGGCAATGGTTGAAGAAACACAATCAGGTTTTGATGTTGTTCTGACAACACACTGCATGGTTCATTTACTGCTTTTATTAGTTTTTAGGCTTAAAACTCTGGAAACTTTCAGTTGAACATTCTTACCAAAGACCTTGCTAGAACTTGTCCTATTTTTCTTTTACTGAATTACAATTAAGCAGAACACAAAACTTTCAGAAACTTATGGACATGCAAAATTTATCTTACTAAAAGTGAATTAATTTTCTCTATTTCGAAGCAATATAATTAAAAGGGGATTTTGTTTGTTCTTTCTGTATTTCTAAAATAGTATAAATAACAGAGGATTTTAGCTGGTCACTTTGAATAATTACTCCTTGTTCCATGACTCCATTATCCCTGGCTCTTGTTTGTTTCAAATGTGGCATAGTCAGCATTTTGATCTTCTTGAACTTTTGTAGGCGATGAGGATGCAAATAGCAATGAATCAAGTTGGAACATGGATTGTTCTGCAGTTGTGACAGTTAAAACATTGCATATCAGTTCTCCCATTTTAGCTGCAAAAAGCCCATTCTTCTACAAGGTAAGATATGGAATTAATAGTAATAGATTTTTAAAAGAGAAAGTGGAAATATATTGTGTTTCTATAATGCAAGCATATTTATAAGAATATTTGTTACCCTTCTCTTTATAGGTAATTACTTATACGTTTACTTATTTTTGGAAAAACATAGACTTCATTTTAGTGTTCTTGGCTATGTTAGTTATTCAAACAGGTTTGAGCTGGCAAATTTGAAAGGACATTTTTTATATTACTTTTGGTGTGCAGAGGAAGCTGCCCTCATGGAACTTTTGAATTTTATGTATAGCAACACCTTATCTGTCACCGCAGCTCCTGCCTTGCTTGATGTGCTGATGACTGCTGATAAATTTGAGGTTGCCTCTTGCATGAGATATTGCAGTCGGCTATTGTGCAATTTAACTATGACACCAGAGTCAGCTCTGCTCTATTTGGATCTTCCATCTTATGTTTTAATGGGCAAAGCTGTCCAGCCTTTGACCGATGCTGCTAAACAGTATCTTGCTTCCCGTTACAAGGACATGACCAAGTAAGCACTCGTTCGTGTTTTCTATTATGTATTTTTGACTTACGTACAGAGTTCTATCGGCCTTGCAATGGGTACATGCCATTTTCAGTTTTGATTTCCTGTAGGACAAAAAACCAATTTTTTATAAGATCCGATCCTCATCTTAAACATGGTCCTAGCAAGTATTCTTTTCGGAGCTATTCTGATCCTTATATTTTGAAAATGGTCATGTTGAACATGGACAATTAACTTTAATGTTCTTTCAAAAGGAAAAGGAGAAGTTTAAAGCAATACTCTTGGTAAAACTTAACCTTATGATATAAAGTATTTTTAATGGCAACATAGCAGTCTGAACAGTGAATTTACTTCATCTCTTGTCATTGTCAAAGTGAAAATTATTCATATTTAGAGGCCTTACTTATGCTTTTTCCACGCTTTTTACCAGGTTCCAAGAAGAGGTAATGGCTTTGCCACTAGCTGGGATTGAGTCAATATTGTCCAGTGATGATCTGCAAATTGCATCTGAAGATGCTGTGTACGACTTTGTTTTGAAGTGGGCCAGGCTTCAGTACCCCAAACTGGAAGAGCGAAGGGAAGTTCTTGGTTCACGCCTTGCACGCTATATTCGCTTCCCTTATATGACCTGCAGGAAGCTTAAGAAGGTGCTAGCATGTAATGATTTTGATCATGAATTTTCATCGAAGCTTGTGCTCGAGGCTCTCTTTTTCAAGGCTGAAGCCCCACATAGACAACGAAGCTTGGCTGCTGAGGAGTCTGCAAGCTTGAACCGTCGCTTTATCGAGCGAGCTTACAAATATCGTCCGGTTAAAGTGATTGAATTTGAAGTTCCCCGTCAACAGTGTGTTGTATACCTGGACTTGAAGAGGGAAGAGTGTGCAAATCTATTCCCATCTGGACGGGTTTATTCTCAGGCGTTCCACCTGGGAGGACAAGGTTTCTTCCTGTCAGCTCATTGCAACATGGACCAGCAGAGCTCATTCCACTGCTTCGGGTTGTTCTTAGGAATGCATGAAAAGGGTTCCGTTAGTTTTGCGGTGGATTACGAATTTGCGGCAAGGTCAAAGCCAACGGAGGAGTTTCTAAGCAAATACAAAGGCAACTACAAATTCACCGGCGGCAAGGCAGTTGGCTATCGGAATTTATTTGCCATACCTTGGACATCGTTCATGGCGGAAGGCAGTATTTACTTCATTAATGGTGTTCTCCATCTTAGGGCTGAGTTAACCGTCAGACACTAACCATATGGAGCTTCGGTCCATTTACTTTAGCTGAACTAACTCCGTTGTTTCTTTCTTCACTTCGACCCGACCAAAATCCAATATGTACCAATTAGAGCAATGGGTTGGATCTTTTATTTTTTAATCATCAATTTGCTTGAAATTGAAATGTGATACTTCGTCTTAGACATGTAACGCGGTCGGAGTCGAATTGTAGATCCGAATTTACTAATTTTATATCTTCCACTTAGTTTTTAGTGTAAAGTACACCAATAATCTCTGATTATACTGTTATGTTTTATTGAATCCTTCGAGTGTTAAAGGTTATAAGAGTCTTCTGAATGATGTTTTGTTGAGTCGATCGATTATTAAAATTTATTAAATTTTATAAAATGGTATCTAATTATTGATATATTTTAAATTTATCATTTTTCACTAAAAATTAATGGTTATCTAAGTTGGACATTAATTTACTGATTGATTTATAATAAAATTTAATCATAAAACTCTTTAAATTGTATATTCATTTGAGATTGAAGGATCATATTTTATCATATTCAAATCGGTTAGTGTTCAGCTCAGACAAGTGTCAACTTTTTAACATAAAAGGACAAATTTGAAACATATAAATAATTATGTGATTATTTTATAATTTTTTATAGTTGAAATATTCAACAAAATAACATTCTATTATTGAGGTACTATTTTATAACTTCTAATAGTCAGATAACTCAATAACACCTTATAACATTTTTTTTATTTTAATAATAAGATAACTCAACAAAGTAATCTAATATATCGAATTTTTGGGCATAGAACTTCAGTAAATTTGAGTCATTTTGAGCTTCACCAAAAGCCTAACCTATAAATAATTAATTTGACAATAGTGATTTGTAATGGATCCCAATTTAATATGTATTATATTCCAATTTTGAACATATAATAGATGTGAATTTGACAATAAAATATCAAAGTATAAATAATTGATTTGAATTTCAAATTTAAAAATTAAATAATTAAGTTTCTAAAAGAAAGTGAATAAATTAGAATTTAAGTGTAACTTAAAAATATAATTCGAACAGTTCATTATTATCATATATGTAGGGTATCTGTTTGCACTGTATTATTTAGTATAAACAAATAAAACCCATGTGGAACGCCGGCGCACCGCTTTCATAACGCGTTTGTGAATGGTAGAAGTCGGTTGACTTCTAGAACCATAAAAAAAACATCGTTTTGAGTTTTTTTTTTCTGTTTTTGGCAATGGGAGTTGCCACTTGTCACCGTTTCATATGGTTCTTGATCCTTATGTATACGTATACTAAATTAGCTTCGTTATGCAATAGGAAAGAAAAAAAATTAGTTTCGTTGTGTTTTTTCGATGGAATCTACTATTAAAATTTAGATTTTCAAAAAAAAAAAACCTATTGAAATTTAGGATAATGTATACAAATGATCCTTTGAATATAAGATAGAGAAAATAACCCCAGTAATCGAAAATGTCTTATAATATACGATTTTAACCAATTTTTTTTGGATTTACGAAAATGACCAATAAATTCGCAACGCGAACTCCAATTTCGCAATCCAATTTCCAAATTCGCAACGCGATAGTCAAATTCGCAACACTAAAGTCAAATTTACAACGCGAATCTGTAAATCGCAACACATAAGTCAAATTTGCAACACTGAATTTCAAATTCACAACACAAAAGTCAAATTCGCAACACGATAGTCAAATTTGCAAAGCGCGTTTATTTTCGCAACAAATTTTTGCAATACTGTTTACCTATATCGGTAATTAGCGTTGCGAATTTGAAAACCGCGTTACGAATTTGAAAACCACGTTGCGAATTTGAAAATCTCGTTGCGAATTTGTAATTCGCGTTGCGATAGTACTTTTTACCTATATCGGTAATTAGTGTTGCAAATTTGAAAATTTCGTTGCGAATTTGTAAATCGCGTTGCGATAGTACTTTTTACCTATATCGGTAATTAGCGTTGCGAATTTGAAAATCTCGTTGCGAATTTAAAAATCACGTTGCGATAGTACTGTTTATTTACATCGGTAATCAACGTTGTGAATTTGGAAAATTGCGATTTTGAAACCTGTGTTGTAAAATTGGAGTTCGTGTTGCGAATTTGTTGGTCATTTTTGTAAATCCAAAAAAAATTGGTTAAAATCGTATATTATAAGATATTTTCGGTCACTGAAGTTATTTTCTCTATAAGATATTGTTTTATTGGGTTCATTGATCATTAAAAGTTATAAAATAATCTCTCGATTATAGGAAATGTGGGCGATAGAGTTTGCCATCGGAGCCGTTGGGCTGGCGGGAGTGGCGGTGTCATGGTGGAGAAAGAGGAAGATAAAAGATATGGAAAAGGCATTGGATACGTTTTGGGTCAGGGGAGATCATAAAATGCCTTGAGCGTCGATGATCAGAACACAGCCATCACTTGAGCATGACCATGTTCTCTCTCCTCCTCTGCTGGATTTGTGGTCTTGAATTCTTAATATCTTCTCATTGTTTTCTGGAATTTATTTTACTCAATCTGCCCCTCATTGTTTTTGTCTTTGTAGGCAATTTAGGTCTCAAATGTTGCATCAATTCATTGAAATTAATTATTATGACTCCAATCACTAGTATGATCTTAATCAAAAAGACGAGCAACTTTTAAATATTGGGTTTATGTTGTGCCTGCAAAGGCTGGCGGCAGGTGAACAATGCACTAATATTTGTTCTCTACTTGTTATTGGAACCACAACCAATGAAGGTTCCTCTTGTTTATATGTTAGCAATAAATAAAGCAAAAACGTCGGCTAATGCTATATAATCAATTATTGTTTTTTTAAGTAGGATAAACAGTCTAATTAATTAGACCAATGAAACATATAGAAGTTTATTTAGGAATTTACGATATTTGATGCAATGACTTGGAATTATTCATATCAACGTGATTAGTTTAAATAAAAAATATTTTTATTTAAACTTTTTATTTTAATGTAATAAAATTTAATAAAAAATATATTTGATTATAACACGTCATTTCGACGTGATAAATTCTATGAATACTATAAAAATATCGTAAATCTCAAAATAAACTTCTACATATTCTGTTTTTTTTTTCAAATAATTTATGTGTTTGTATTATTCAGAAAAAAATCAATTATTCAGGGAACAGGGGGGATTGAGGTTTAGAGAAGAATGATTGGGCCAACGCGTTGGCAGAAGATAATAATAATGAAATCGGGCAATTTCTGAGTAGTTAATTCTAGGTCGAGACCTGGGCTGGAACAACAACGTCACACGTAGGGATGGCAAAAGTTGTGTTGTGTCGGTTTTTTTTTTCTTTCAATCTAACTCAACTTAAAAATTATATATTTTCTACCGGAACTTAATTCTATTAAAAAATTACATATCTTTTATTAGATCTAATTCGATCTAAAAATATATATTTTTCATCCGGTTTTAATCCAATTCAAAATTTTAGAATATAAATCCAACCCGATCCAATCCGACTCAATATAAAATAAAGATTTAATTAAAAATAATATTTTTTAAAGAAATTATATTATTATATTTGGATTGAGTAGGATTATAGTTTTTCACCCTTCTCTTGACCCGACTCGATCCAACCTCATTCCCTTTAAAATCCAAATCTCTGACCAGACCTAAAACCTATTGATTTTGGGTTAAATTGTCATCCTAATCGTATGTGAGAAATTGGGTGGAGGCAAAGTGTTCACAGGCTAGCGATTGATAAGTATGCCATTTCTTTATAATATGGATTTGGACATCGATTCATGAAAGACAGGGACCATGAATGTACCGGATTGTCCAAAACGAAAAAGAAAGAAAAAAGGAGATTAAAGTTTGCACCCATATTTCAAAATAATCTAATACCTCAAAAGTTGAAAAAACTTTGGATCGTAAGAGACTAATATTCATTAGACATTTCCTATGTGTCCAAGGACTAAATATTTCATTTAATAATTATTTTTGACAAGCAGGCCTCGTTGCTCTGCCAATTTCCAGGCTGCGTGGTTCATTTCTGTGCTTTCGATATACGAGTTTCTGACCGTCGCCTCCCCTTACGTCAGTGGTGGGTTAGGTTGTTGATTAAAGTTTCCGTTTCTTTATCATGATAGAGAACTCTAAGTGCACACGTAGCGCTGTCGTGAGATGATCTGCTATACTTTATTTGCTTTCTGGGTCAAAGATTTAATATATCCTGATATTTCTCGTCAAAGCAAATATGCGTCGAAAACGGCAAGTCGGCTGCCCCCACAGCGTAAATATTCAATGTTCATCTTGTAGGAATTATCATTATAATTTGTAAGATTTATTATAGTATACTAAATGTAATTGAATTATCTCAATTATTCATCTTAATTAATTTAATTTAATTAATATTAAGGTTGAGTACACAAATAATTTTCGACTATAATGTATTGTTTTATTAAATCTATCGATTATTAAAAATTACAAAATGATATTTCGATTATAGAGTGTTGTTTTGTCGAATCTTCAATTATTAAAAGTTACAAAATAATCACATGACTATTCATTGTGTTACAAACTCGTCATTTTCCATTAAATATTATTGAATTTTAAGCTAAACGTTAACATATTAAATGTGATATGATAATATCTAATCATAGAATCTTAAACGATTATCATATCCTAGTTATCATGTTAACTTCCAGCTTAGATAACTGTCATTTTTTGACCGAAAAGGATAAATTTGAAACATAACGAATTGTCAGTGATCATTTGTTACTTTTAATAGTCAATAGACTTAATGAAATAATATTTTATAGTCAACTGATCATTTTATAACTTTTAATAACCAATTTATTTAATAAAACAATACCCTATAGTCAAAAGACTATTTGTATACTTTAATCTTAATATTATTATAATTGCATCTTCATTGGAAAATCCTATGATCATCGATATTATGTTAAAAAATGTTCAAAATTTTCTTCAGTAGTAACATCTCAAAAACTTTGAAAGACAAAATATCTTAAAAGAATGACCTTAATTAATATAGTATACCAAAAAATCACGATCTATTAACATAACTTTTTATAAGTCTACGTGATCAAAAACATATATTTTTTTATAAGTCTACATGATTTATTAAAACTAAGTTTATCACCACGTAACAATATACACTTAATTTGTTATTCTACGAATAGTCATCGTATCTCTATATTTAATATTATGTTATTAAGAGTCATTATAAAACTTTTCCATCAAGACCAATAGAAGATGCGACCTAAATAAAATCTTCTTACATTCAATTACATCTCTATCTCTACCTGCAGTTTTATACCCAAATCATGAAGAATAAATCATCTATAATACTAATGCAATTGGTTGCTGATTCAGTTATTTTAAAGTGTATGATTGTAAATTGTTTCCTGAATAATTACATTGTATTAGAAACAAGTGTTGGTAATGCTCAATCACACATAGTATTGGAAATACTATTGGGAATGATATTTAAGGCTTGGCTTTCTCACTTTCTTGTTGAGTAATAAAGAATAAGGGGGACTCTCGCGCGCCGCAGCCGCCGCCGTCCGTCACGTCTCGGGTCGGGTCGGGTCGTGGTCGTGGTCGTGGTCGTGGTAATACGTGTCTTCGACACGTCCGCGCGAATACTATCTTTTTAGAGAAAATTCTAAAGAAACGCGATGCGAATTTGGAAAATCGCAATATCGCGTTGCGAATCTGGAAACTGATTTGCGATACCGGAGATCGCGTTACGAATTATCGATCGCATTACGATTTAGTTGCTCATTTTGACAAATCCAAAAAAAGTTAAAATCGTATATTATAAGGAATTTTTTTCACTGAAATTATTTTATCAATAATTATTAATATATTATATAAAAACATGTGATTAAATATGCTTAATTTTAAAATTTGTTAATTTATAAATAAAAAGGAATTTAAAAAATATAAATATTTTATAAAAAAATATCTTAATATTTATAAAATGTTGGTAAGGGAAATATCTTAGGTGGCGAAAGCAAAGGATAAACCCAATTAGGTGGTCAAGCCTGGCCGGTGGTGGATTCCAAAGGATCTATTAATTGTAGTTAAATCTCCCACAATTAATATATTCAAAATCCTTTATTTATTAAATTAAACGGAACAAGACCACGTCAGCCCACAATGACGGGTGGATACGTTGGACTCCTTACCCTATACGCGTAGCTCGAGTTACCGACTCACACATGTACGGTACCAGTGACGCTGGACTTTATAAAATTGCCAACGCGAATATCGAATTGGCCAACTCAACAAACAACCTTGTCCCTCCGTATATACGGTGTATATACGTAATTGGCTCCCTTCTACGACACGTGTTTGGTGACGTGGTTGTTGCCTTAGCGCTTCATTTCCTTCCTTCTTCTTCACCCTACCATAGCTTTCCTTCCCCTGCGAATGTAAAGATAATGCAGTCTCTTTTACTATATGCTGTGAAGTGTGAATTATTCTTCCGCTGCTAAGAGAAGGTAGAGTTTCAGATTTTTTCCCTCATATTTTCAAGGTATGTTAAAATTGAAGTTCGATGAAACTTTTCCCCCCCGTTATTATTGAGCGAGTGGATTATTGCGTAAGGCTATGTTTGGTTGTTGAGAAAGCTGATGAACGTGCAGGATTAGAGTTAAATTTAGTTCTGGATGTTCTTATTTGGTGATGTAATGTTGGAAACCGGATTCGATTTGAAGCTGCGGTGATCAAGTTTTTTATTGTTGTGAAAATAATATCCGTTGAGCTTCATTACCTTTTTCAAATTATAACTGAATTTTGTAGAATTTTTGGCTTTTATTAATTTTAAGCGTTTATCTGTTCCCAGATCTCGTAAATTGGCGACAACCTCTGTTTAGAAACTTTGGATTTGCATGACTATTATGGCTGATTTTCTTTGGTACCGAATTTCATTAGACGACGAAAATTGAATTAGCGGTTAGCAGGTCATGATCTTCAAAATTGTTTTGGATTCATCTACGAAAGAACTATTTCATGGGGAGAAATGCAAAAATCATTAACTGCAGACTCAAGGTTATTTTTGTCCTGCTGTTAATAGATTAAATCGGTGATTTGTCTTCGTTTTAACGTACTCCTCATCTTACACCATCCCGCTAAGTGACTGACTGACTGACAGACTAATAGAAAGACGGTTGTACCCTCATATTTTCATATGTATATTTTCTGGGCTTCTGTATGGGTATTTTTTTGTTTGTTGAACGTTAAGAAGTGCAAATTTGGAACGCCTGTTTGTTTCTAGAGGAAGGTGATTGAATGCTTCTATCTCTGTTTTACCTAAAAATTAATAGGAAAGTAGAATGAGAGTGGTGATCTCTTCTAACTACATAGAATATTGTAGAAATTCTAACATTAAATCAAAATGATTCAAAGCTAAGCCTAATCGCAGTTCAGTGACAATTTGCTTCTATGATGCTTTCCTGAACCATTCTTATTGTCATCAAGAAATTTGCTGTCAAGCACAACTTCATGTTTCTCTCTTTGACTGCAGCTGACAGATAGGTAAACCAAGTTCTCGCAGTTAATTAAGTTGCAGCTTTTGTGCTCGACAATGGGAAACAGCGATGAAGGGAAGTCGTCTAAATCTGACAAACCATCTTCACCATCAACTCCAGTAAGTTAACATATTATGTCTGTTTATATGTTGAATCTTGGAAAAAGTTGTAGCTTTTCATGCTAGAAAAGAATAAGTGCCATGCTATGTATGATTATCCAATTTGTTTTGGGGAAAGATTTTTATGGTAGTTGTAGTAGAATTTGTAACTATTATGTAGATTAAATTTTAAGCTTATATATGAGTGTTGGTCAATCCTTTTCTATCAACAGGATCAGAGCGCCACTCATGTCTATCCCGATTGGGGAGCTATGCAGGTTATCTTCCTAATGCATGCACTCTGTTACCTTTTTCCTGCTGCTGTTTTGAGGCATTTTGTTTTCAACTAAAGTTCATATTCTATTCTTCAATGCAATTTCTAATGGGGATTTTATGATTTTTTGTTACATATTTAGGCATATTATGGTCCTCGAGCCGCTATGCCACCATATTATAATTCGGCTGTGGCATCTGGTCATGCTCCTCCCCCTTATATGTGGGGGCCAACACATGTATGTATCTCCAGCGCATATAATAACTTTGTTCAAGTTTTGTTGAACCTCTCTGTAAAAAATTAGTGAATATACTAATTTGACACTGCCAGCCAATTGTGCCATCTTATGGGGCACCTTATGCAACAATCTATCCTCATGGGGGAGTTTATTTGCATCCTGCAGTTCCCATGGTAAGTTCACTTCACCGGTATCTGTTACTTAAGAGTATTTTTTTTTAAGTTCTAGGAGTTTACATTGTCTTGCATTTTAGATAGTGGTCTTTTTTATGGTTACCAACATGTAATACTCCTGGATTCCTTACCTTACCTTACCTTACCTTACCTTACCTTACCTTACCAATATAACTAGAAACACTAAATTAAAAAGAAAATTCCATCGTACCACCCCCTACATGGAATATGAATAGAGTGCTAAACAAAACCAAGATCTCTGCTTCTTTTGTATCACGCTATACCCTAATGAATTTTTTTATCCGTTTGCTCCTGAAATCCAGGGATCGCATGGTCATGGTGTTCCATCATCATCTGAAGTAAGGACCAAGGAGGCTTTTGTTGTTGAATTAATCTTTTCAAACTGTTGCTACTCTTATCCTTAATTATTGTTGATAAGCATGCATATTAACTGTCACTGTGAGTTAACTTGCAAGTTGTCAGTCTTTGCTTTAAGCTAATATGTATGGTAATGAATATAACCAGAGCATTGTAATGCAGGCCCCTGTGGAAACACCTACAAAGCCCTCAGGAAATACAAACCAAGGTTTATTGAAGAAGCTGAAAGGATTTGGTGGCCTTACAATGTCGGTAGGCAACAGTTCTGCTGAGAATGCTAAAAGCGGGGCTGAACCCCAACTGTCCCGGAGGTTTGTTAGTCTTTTCCGGACGAACTAGTACTATTATTTAGGAGATTATATCTATGCCTTAGCGACCTATTTGTATGATACTGCATGACCAAGTGAACTAGTGACCTATTTGTATGATACTGCATGACCAAGTGAACTTTTGCCAGTTGATCCGTAGTTGGTCGACTAATTTTTATGATCATGTGGACAGTGTGAAGACTGAAGGTTCCATTAATGATAGTGATGGGATTACAACTGGGGTGAGATCTCACTTCTATCTGTATAACCTATTACCAACAACTTTTTCTTTTCTTTATAAGTTATTTTATTTGATCATGGCATTAAAAGAATTATAAGGTTCCAAATGCTAAAGTTTATATTTGTCATTGCATATCATCTGTCAGGCAGATCAAACAAGACGGAAAAGAAGCAGAGAGGGAGCACCGACCATTGGTATGATCTCGTTCTTCACCATATTTATTGTTTGTCGAAAAGAGTTTACCTGAAGTGCAACGTTTTCACCAAATTTAGGAGGCATTATCATTTTTACATATCAATAGGAAATCCTATTAGAGATCTGCGGCTCACTTCTTGGAAGGAGCACCGACCATTGGTATGATCTCGTTCTTCACCATATTTATTGTTTGTCGAAAAGAGTTTACCTGAAGTGCAACGTTTTCACCAAATTTAGGAGGCATTATCATTTTTACATATCAATAGGAAATCCTATTAGAGATCTGCGGCTCACTTCTTGGAAGTTGTATGTGGGTACTTAGACTCATGAGTATTAACCTCAATGTGCAAAAGTTTTTTTGTAATTTCTGAAGGCAATATGTTAGAAAAATGAAAAGAATGAGATTTAAATTATTGAATCTTGGGACACACTCGGTCCCACTTTCATTTGTGGAGGTTTAGGCATATTGATTATGGTCTTTGTGTTAGCAGGTGAAGGGAATAATGAAGCAAGGTCTAAATCGGTTGCTACGCGGGAGGTGACTGCAACTGTTTCTCCTACACCAGTTGGACCTGTACTTTCTTCTGACATGACCACAGTTTTGGAGCTTAGGAACCCTCACACCCTGAGTGCTAAGTCCAGTCCTATGAGTGTACCAGGTGTAATGTCATCTGAAGTTTGGTTGCAGTTAATTTTGCCCGAATGGACCTCTGGTATATCAGTTCTTTGTATCTTGCTTTCAAAGCTATGCCTTTTAGCTTTCTTGTAATTTGAACTGTTTTGTTACTTCATTAAGAAGCTAATGCTTTTGATTACAATGGTAGTAAATGCACATATTAGTGTTATCTAATTTTCAGTGACGAGTCTTAAGCTGTAGCTAATTTAAACGAAATTTAACCAGAACGAACAGGAGCTGAAGCGAGAGAGAAGGAAACAATCTAATAGAGAATCTGCTAGAAGATCAAGGTTGAGGAAGCAGGTATAAGAAATATATCTTCATTGAGCCTCTTTACCAGATATGAACTATAACAATGGAATGATCTGAAACTAATGCACTGCTTTCTTTTGTAGGCCGAGGCAGAAGAGCTTACTCGTAAAGTTGAATCCTTGACTGCAGAGAATGCATCACTTAGGTCCGAAATAAATCTACTAACCGAAAAATCCGAGAAACTAAGGCGAGACAATGCTACATTAGTGGTATGAACGTTTACCCTTTTTTGTAGTTCATTTCCCTCTCAACTCCGTATCTCTTGTAACGACTTTTGCAACACTAACACAGAAGGGATTGAAAGAGGAGAATATTATGAATAAGAAACAAGACAAAGATGGTGAAATGTACGAGAAGAAGTTGAACTCAGGCGCCAAGTTACATCAACTCTTGGATCCGGGTCCAAGAGCCAATGCAGTGGCGGCTCGATGAACAAGGAGAAGAGGTAAACGAAGTTAATTTTTTTTCTTTACATTAGATGTGATGAAACCACGTAGCTTTGGAATGTAATTTATAACCCAAAACTACTGCTAACACTAAATTTGAGGAAACCATTTCTCGTGGCAGAACTGATGTGTATTATTTTATTTGAAAATCAGAGTGCTGAGAAAGCTTAGAAAAGAAGTAAATCTTGGAAACAGTCAAATATGTAAATCTCTTGTGATTGTGAAAATTTTAATGACTGTGTGATGTGTGAAATGAGAGATTTGCAGTTTCTTATCAGTTTTGTACTCTTTCATCTACCTTTTTTTTTGTTCTTTTTGTGTTGGTAAAATGTTAATATTTGTTTCTTCATATAGTATTCGTGCGGTGCGAGCTAAGGTCATCCAAATATGGTATAATTTGTTTTATTCCTTTTAAAAATTATACATTATATTTTAATACAACGATTAAATTGCTTTCTCATCCCATAAAAGTTAATAATTCAATTATGATCTCCTTAAATATAATTTCTACCTTTATCCTGCATTCGTGTTAATCATTGTTGTGATGTCTACTAATTATTGTATATATTATATTTATTTCTTGATAAACTTATGGTCTTTTAGATCGAAACCTTTTATATCTCATATATCATTAAATTATAATTTTTTTGGATAAGTAATTTATATTTCATCCAAAAAAATGCAACTTAGCTGCTACAAAAGAACCTGCCACACTCTAGATCAGTTCCCAATTTGTGTACAAGTATCTTTTACCATCATCAACTCTGTGTAAACTAAGGCTGTACAATTTTGCTTTCAGTGCCTCCTTAATTCTATTTACAATTACCTCACTTGAACTTGAGATTTCTCTGAAATGCCTATAGTTGTGATCTTCCCAAATATGATACAGAAAACCAGTCCAAGCAAGTTTTAGAATCCGTATTCAAAGAATTTTACCCTTCAGGTTCCCAATCAGCCAATTGAGGCGTTGATCCCAGGTATGAGCAGCACATCGAGTTCCATAAAGACTTAGAACAGTGTTTCAAACATCCATAGCAAAGGGACAATCAACAAATAAGTGATAATGCGATTCCGAGCCCGAACAGCATACCATACAAGAAGCATCGACAACTAAGCCAAAACGGGCGAGTCTATCTTTAGTTGGCAGCCTATCGAGGATGGCCATCCACGAGATTAAGGAAAATTTAGGAATATGGGAGGGGAACCAGATAATCTTGTGCTAACTCACCTTCTCTTTGCTAATTCTAATACTGTCCCATATCCATTTTCCTTTAATTAGGCACAAATTTGCACCAGGGGAAACAATCTGCTCGCAACATCTCGCAGCCACAGTAGTTTACTTAAAATCCAACTGTAATGGGGTTTGCAAACAGCTTCCCAATAACTATCTGATTGAAAACAATAGGCTTTAACCCCGGCAATCCACAATGAACCTTCATTTGCCAAGATATTTCTTATTAGCAACAAGCAACAAGATTCGCTCCAAAGAGCAAGATCCCTAAGTCCCAATCCACCCTCAGACTTTAAGGAACAGATCTGGCTCCAGCCTGCACGGGCTCCTCTAGCCGAGGTGTCACAACCTTTCCAGAAAAACCGCATACAAAGTCTCTCAACATCCTTAATAATTCCTTTAGGAATGATAAGCTGCCTACACCAAAAATTAAAAATACTGAAGAGGACAGATTTAACAAGTTGCAATCTTCCTCCAAAACTAAGTTTTTTGTTGGACTATTGGCTCAGTTTGCCCTTAATTCTTTCAAGTAGAGCAGTGCAGTCCTTACCAGTAAGTTTTCGGGTGACTAGGGAAACCCCAAGATACCGAACAGGGAGCTGAGCCACTCTAAAATCAGTGGCTAACCGAACTGATCAAGAGTATTTTGACTTAAGCCACAAGCAAAGAATTCAATTTTCAAAACGTTCAACTTAAGCCCTGAAAGTTCATAAAACATTTCCAGGGTACTTTGAACTCCAGGCACAGATTCAATGGAACCATGACAAAATACCAAGAGATCATCCGCAAAACAAAGATGGGTGAGTTGAATTCTTTTGCATCTAGGATGATATTTAAAAATTCCCTTCATAGCAGCAGTATTCAAGAGAGATGACAACACATTCATCACAATAACAAAAAGGTAGGGTGACAATGGATCACCTTGCCTAATCCCCCTTGCACCCTTAAAATATCCCACCAAGCTGACATTCAAAGAAACAAAATACATGGGTGTAGTAATGCAGCCACTGATCTAATTGCAGAACTTATCAGGGAGTCCCATTGCTCCAAGAACATTCAGCAAAAAATCCCAATTGACAAAATCAAATGCCTTATGGAGATCAATTTTAATGGCACACCTAGGAGAAAGACTCTTCCTATAATATCCTTTAACCACTTCCTGAGCTAGCAAGGTGTTATCAACTATATTTCTACCCTTAACAAAAGCTGTCCGATTCTGGGAAATCATTCCAGGAAAGTAGGGAACAAGTATATTCACAAGGATTCTAGTTATAGTTTTATAGACCACTGAACAACAAGATATAGGTCTAAAATCTTTTTCCAAGCAAGCATTTAAAGACTTAGGAACCAACACTAAAGCTGTAGCATTGAAAGCAGACAGTAAGCAAGAAGTTTGAAAATAATACCTCACGACAGAGATAAAGTCACTGCCCATAATTTCCCAAGCGGCTTTAAAGAAACCAGAAATAAACTCATCTGGACCCGGAGCTTTGTCCTTCCCCTGTCTAAATAAGGCCTCTTTGATCTCCAAATCACTAACCTCCTTGGTGAGAAAAGAAACAGCTCCATCAGGCAGAGAGTACCTCAATAATTCTTTCAAACTCTCAATAGGGAATCCCTTAACCCAAGGGTGGAGCCAATTAGGTTAGTGAAAAACTTCACTAACTCAGCAGCCATACCTTCAAAGGTATCATACCTCTGCCCATCCTCACCCATGACAATTCTGATAGTATTCTTTTTCTTATTGGCTTGAGTCCTATGATGAAAGAATATGGTGTTTAAATCACCCTCCCTAAGCAGCGAGCTTTTGTCTTTTGCTTGTAAAAACCAGATTCTGCAATCTACAAATCTACTAGCTCAACTTGAATCCTCCTCTCATCATCAATCCTCCTCTGTTCAGGATGAGCCAGATTAAAGATTTGAGTCTGTTCTAATTCAACCCTTTTGCTACTTACCCTGCCAGAGATATCAGAGAAGTGCTCCTTGTTTAAATTCTTTAGAAGAGGTTTGAGCCTTCTCAACTTGAGGAACAAGCAACTCATGGCATTATCACCACAATATCCATGCCAAGCATCTCTAACATTAGCCAAGAATTGCTCATGTCCAGTCCAGTAATTAATGAATTTAAAAGGACGAGGTCTCTTGGTCATGACATCCTTATGTGTCTATAGTAAACCAAGATAGTGGTCTGAAACTCCCTGTGCAGTAAATTCAGCAAAAGAATCAGGATGATCAAGCAGTCACTGATCATTGACTAATATCCTGTCTAATTTGTGAGCTAAATATGATTCTTCCTGTTTGTTGGACCATGTAAATAATGGCCCAATGAACGGATGGTCCATGAGATCAAGATTCTCCAAGCAATCTTGAAAATCTTTCATGTATGGGGTGCAGTGAATGCCCATTACATCGAAGTTAGAACTCTCATCTGCTTTAGCAATAATATTGAAATCCCCCCATTACCCATGAGGAAGATCCAATATCATTCCCAACAGAGCTTAAATGTTCCCAAAGCCCCTTTCTAGCAACTCCATTATTGTTACCATAGACAGTCGTGATAGCTCTGCTATGCCCTTCAACTGTCCCCCAAATAGTAATGGCTTGATCATGTTTCTGCAGCACATAAAACATCAAGTGCTTCCTCCAAAACAACCAAAGCCGAACTCCATCAATAGAATCATAGTTTTCGACAAAATTCCAGTCAACAGACATAGAAGAAGAGAAATTATCTGCATTTACCCTTCTAATTCGAGTCTCCATCAAACAAATAACATCCACCCCATATTTATCTAACCTTCTAAACACTTTCAGCTATTTGAGGGAATTGTTTATCCCCCTTACATTCTAAAACCCTATTATCATTAAAAAGGAATGGAATGCACAGAACCACCCACACCCGAATTCACCATAGTACTCTTAGCTTTTTCCAAATGATTCTTCTTTTTTGTCTTTATCTCAATTAGCAACATAGCCACCCCCAAGGAAGCAACTCTAGTTTTCTTAGGCCCCTCTACAACACCTTCCAGTTTACTAGAAGAACCATCATGTTCGTTCCTCCTCCCTTTTGTTTTCTTCCTCAAAGAATCCTGAAGTGAAGGAAAATCACCAGAGAGAACATCCTGTGAGGGATTAATACCAAAACCATTCCCAGACAGAGAAGGTTTAGATTCATTTTGGGAGACAATAACAGCAGTAGGATTCTGTGGGAACTGAGCAAAATTTTTAGAGGACATTTCCACAATTGTCTCACTACCCTCCAGCAAATCTTTAACCGAAGCCTCCATAGCATTACCAACCTGTAAATCCACATTCTGCATCAATTCTGTTGACTTATGACCATTGGCAAAATGAGCCTCAGAGCTAAAGTTCACATTCTTAGATTTATTAGCATTTTCATGTACAACATTAGAAGCAGTTGCAATTGCTGGAATCTCCTTACTACCAATTACCAGAGAAGGCAAATATTTCTTCCTCCAAACTTGGACCTCCTTAGGCTTTTGTATAGGCAGTCGAGCCTCAGTACACGAGTTAGCTTGGTGGCCAAAAGATTTGCATATAGTACAGCCTTGAGGAAGCCATGGCACAAACACTCGAATGATCACTGGTGACCCATCTTTTAAAACTATAGAGATAGAGTCAGGTATAACACTTCCAACTTCAATCTCCACGCAGACCTTAACAAATTCAAGCCTCTGCTTAGAGGCCATTATGGTGTCCATGTACAAAGGCCTACCTATTGCACTAGATATATAGCTTAAACCCTTCTGAGAGTAAAGCTCTAAGGGAACATTATGGAGCTGCACCCAGACTGGCATACAAGACAGATCAAAGCTTAGCTTCTGCAATCCAGGAACCCATTTTCGCAAAACCAATAGTTTGTTCTGGACATGCCAAGGTCCATTATCCAGCACCCATTCCTTCAAATCAGAATCTAGAAATGAAAAAACAAATAGGTTAGGACTAGCTACGCTAACCTTAACTTGTGAAGAAATCCCCCGAATTGATTCGATGATATGTTGCATAGATCCA